TGTATTAATTAATACGCATCGGACCCAGTGTTCAAGGACCTTCAGTGTGCAAGGTTTCTGTGCATAACAAATTTTTAGGATGACAAATACAAAAAAATGCATAGAAAATTTCAGACTCAGTGTGCAAGGACCTTTAGAATATAGTGCACAAGTCATAAGGATTACTGCTATGATAAAAGTCAGATATGTAAGATACCAACATCTTAATAAATAAATGTAACATAGAGTAGTTGGCAGGATGTTTGCATTTGTGCATTTTGGGTATTCGGTTTTAAAACATCAAAAGGGTGAATAGATATGACAGAACTTTCCATTTTGGAAAATCTATTCCTTCAAAAGTTTAATAATAAGCTGTTTAATGTCATCCTTGAATCTAGAAGATTTCATTCATAAGCAGCTCAAATCATTTCCAGCTTTCATCTGTCCTGATATTATACATAAATGACTCAGAATTTAAAAAATATTTGTAAGAATATCATTTTTGTTCTCAAATCTCCCCAGATCTCAAAAACATAAATTCTCAGTTGTTGAACAGGCCTTTAATAGACAATGCACTTTAAAACAGAAGTTTATACATGCGTTACTAACTATTAATCTAAAGCTAATAGAAGCTGTATGTCACCTTATCTTCTTACTTGTAGTCTTGCTGCAAATAAAATGACTAATAACTACACAAATTGAAGTAGATTGAATTTTTTTGTTTGTTTGCCCAGTGTCCTGTGCAACATTTGTGTTTCACATGTCCTAGTCATCTCCATCTGAAGTGAATTGTGACCATCTTTGACCTTTGACCTGTGCTCCTGGCCCCCATCACCGTGCCATATGATGGACCTGTGTGTGACTCACGCTACTGTCCTTCTCTCCCCCTTCTCCTTCCCTGCCTCTCCTCAATCCCCCCATCCTTATACCTCCTCCCCCTCCAACACAGAGACAGACCAGCCCTCCCTCGTGTGGTTTGACAGAGGCAAGTTTTATTTAACCTTTGAAGGTAAGTTGGGGTTAATATCTAAGGACGTAGCGCGTGCACACTCAAGTCTCATCTGACATCTGACTTCCCCCTTTTTCTCACACATTCGTCACTTCATCAAAACCAACTGTGACACATTTGCTTGTCCTCCACACATCTGCTTTGCTCTGTATGTCTGCTTTGCCATATAACTGTTCATCTTACAGTCATTGGCAGGTTTTCTTTTCTTTCAAGGATCATCATATTTTTACCTTCGTCACTAATACTGTATGTTTTCTCATTCTTGTTGTTTTGTGGCTCATCTGCTTTGATCTCTTCATTTTGACTTTGGTCTTGGATCACTGTTTCAGCTTCAGGTGCATGCCATTGAAGCTGAGTGTTTTCTGTTTCAGCTTCCTTACTTTTTCTCTTCCATTCTTTTCTCTTCCATCTTTTGTATATATTACACTCATCCTTGGTTGTTCTTATGAATCCAAATGAATGCAATTGAATTAAAATTTAAAATAAAATAAAAAGACTAGAAAATTCTTCACGTGGAAAAGCATTAAACGGCATTTAACAAGAAATTATGGTTTTAATGATGTCCAGCTGTACTCAAAATCAGCTTGTGATTATGTGATTGTTTCCAGTGTTTAAAATGCCATATTACATACAGTACCACGGTACAGTATACTTACTAATGATTAGACACTTTTGAAATCTTAAGGCACACTTAAAATTTTCTGAATAAAAGATCTAATGAAAATGGTACTAGACCTGTTATAGTGTAATTTTTAGATTTCATGGTTACATATTGTTCCCAATTTATTATTATGG